GGGGGGGGTTGTGTGGTGTCCAATTTTTCGCTTCAACTGATTATGGAAGGACCTGGTTCTTCTATGTGTTCCTTCTACTGCTGTTGCGGAATAATAAATGCAGAAAGTAAAGAACACAAATATTTTACGTGAAAATCACCCGGCTCAAAAGGTAAAAAAACCACGCCCTACTACTCAGTAGGATTTTCCCCAACACTTCACTAAATCACTGAGCCAAAACAGCATTTACAAAACTCTTTGTAAACCTAAGGATTACCTCTAATCCCGTTGTAGCACATAACCTCTAACTGTTGCGACAACTTCAAGTTAACTCTAACTTGAATACTCTGAGTACCTATTACAATTGCCTCTAGATAAAGCTAAAAGGTACAATATGAAAACACCTACTATAATTGAACTAGAATAAAAGACAGACACTTAAAACTAGTTCTTCTATCGGGTTCACGTAGCTTCAGGTTTGCACACTTGAATCACACACGAACTACTTGCAAAATTGCCTTGCTATTTTGCTCTCAATTCACGTTTAACTTCTGCGTTTGTGCAACACTTGTAAAGTGAGAACATCCTGCAATTTATAGAGTTAGTAGATGAAGAAATAACTAGAGTTCTAATGCTACTCTTCCTTGGTGGAAGAGTTCTAGTTGATTTCAACTTCTAACTCCTTCCCTATCTTGGATAGTGTTCTCTTTGATTAAGGAGTCCTTCTCCTTACCAATTATGCAACCTTTTCGATCATATTAAATACACCAAGTTAAGCTTATCTCCTTCACGTGCATCCCACATGCTTGAATCTGCCCGTTTCTATGCACACAGGGGATGGACCAAGAGGGATAGACCCGGTTCATGCCTGAGTTCCTTTGTCAGTCTTCAAAACTAACCTTTACTTGGGCCAACAAATTCCCCCTTTTTTATGATGACAAACTCTGTGCTTTTCATAAGCTTAGGCGCTGTTTCAACTCAGCTCAACATCAACGCAATGTTAGAAATATTTTTCCTTTTTATCACTTATCATCAAGGACCAGGTACATTAGGTTATAAACATCACTGTTCAGAGTATAAAGCACATCTTCTTTTTCTCCTTTTGGCATCATCGAAAAGTTGTATAAAAATGTGAGATAACTAGATTTTAAAGCTTACTCATGGCCATTGGGGCTACTTCAAATGCAAACATGGATTAATCATCATAGATCAAGCTAAGAATTTGAACCATCAAAGAAATATATACAAACAGTTAGAGCAAAAATAGTGAATTTCATTGATGATTGATAAGATTCTACCACAAAGCAAAAGAAGAAATAAAAATACTGAAAACATGAGCAAAAGAAATAAAAAGTCCCGAATTGGGTCACTGGTTGATCTACACTAGGCTAGGATTTAAGGCTTGGAAGAGGTAGGGGCTGGTTTATTTTCTTGGAGAAGTTTCAGCATGTCTTGAAGAATTCTATTATTCTTCTCCTTTTTCCCTTGCAAGTTCGGTTCTGAGAACATCTCTCTCAGATTCTACCTCAACCAATCGTGTCTTCAACCTTGCTATCTCAGCATCCTTTGCCTCACTCTCCTGTACCAAGACTCTAACTTTGCTATTGATTGATGTCTTTTTAGATGAACCAGGTTCATTAGGAGTGACATTAACTTCATAATTGCAAGCAAGCAGAGTATTGACCCCAAAATGATCCTTGCTTGTACTAACCTCCCACTTCTTTATAGGTACCTTGAAATGTGCAAGCACATTTGTGAGAATGAAACCATAGGGAATGGCATGAGTTTTGGTGCCATTGATTATCAGTAGGTCCGCGAGGGTTTCCTATTCAGATGGATTAGGTTCATCTATATTTTTCCCAAGTTGACCAACCCCTCGGCAGCTTCGCCAGACCCACTTCCCCCTGTTTTGCTCAGACTCTCTTTTATTTCAGTAAATTCCTCTCCCCAAACAACCATTGCACCAGTTTCTTTTGTTAGATCAACCACTCTTGTACCCTTTCCCCTCACAGTACTCCTAGCACCCTGGCTCTCTTTTTCTTTTTCCTTTTTATTTTTACCACCAACTTCTCCAGATTCTGTAGTCTCAACACCTGTTATAGATCTTACCAGTACAAATATATTCTCCAAATTTGCAGCAACTTCAGAAATTGTCTTAGGAGTAACTTTAGAATTAGAAGATACTTGTTCAGTTTTGGAAGACCTACTTTCTTCCCCCTTAGTAGCAGACTTAAATGAATCTTCAGATTTCTAGGATTCTTCTTCCCTACCTGCTTTCAATTGCTTGTTTATTTTCTTGACCTGCTCTCCTTCAGCGACAATCTTACGAGCCATCATCTTTACTCTACTTTTCTTAGAGATTGGTGTGGTTGAAGCAGTGGTAGAAGGTGTGGAAGTGGTTTCTTGTGGTGGTGATGAAGGATTTTCAGAGGTGTTTGACATATCTGGGCTAGGGTATGGAAGAGAAGACAATTAGATTGTGTTTGGATAATGAAAGAAGAATGAGAGTTTTTGACGGCTTGAGAGAGATGACGTAAGGAATACACTAAAGCTGATCAATATACAGAGGAACAATTGATGGGGTAACTACAGCTTTTCAGACTCTTAGAAGTTTAATCAAACTGAAATTCAGTTTTGAAGAGACACTGGAGTGTATCCCTAGAATCTAGGTACTTCCATTCGGTTGGGACTCTTTTGAACGGAACGTGGTTCATTTGTAACGGATAAGTTCAAAAGGAGTTTGGAATTAGGTAGGACTCTGCTCATGATCCAAATATAATTATTTCAATTTATGCAGAGTATAGAAAACATACCTATTTATCTTGATGAACCAGGTTCTTCACTGAAAATTCTCTTGTGTAAGTCTAAATTTGCCAAAACAGAGAAAATATCATTAGAGATTAATGAGTTATTTTAGCACATGGCACAAGAGTATACTTTTGAAAGTATGAGAATGAGCAAGATTTAATCTAATTATATACAAAATTTACAGACTTTCTAACTAATAATTGTTTTTTCTCAAATATAATTTTTTTAATTTTTTTTCGTTTAACTTTGAACTGGTCCTTTTAGGTGATCTTAATCATCCCTCTCCAATCCCCTCACCACGAAACTCTCCTCGACAATCTCGAGAAAGGACACCTGATAGATCTGAATAGCATGTAAATGATCAACATGGGGACGATTAAGATATCGATGCAGCATTGAAACAGTTAAGTACAGAACAAGTCAGCAATGCTCTGCAAGCTTTT